ATCAATTAGAGGGTTTTTCAATGTCAAAGTAGCATGTTCTAATAGATTTTTGAGGTACATTTTAATTCTACAATGTCATTTTTTTTTGTACTCACTCTCATTAGCCATTTTAAGATACAAATTAAATTTTGGTATTTATCATCAATTTCCTAGTAAAACTCTCTCTCTCTCCATATACAATAGATTGGGTGCATGATTTGTTTTGGGAATGTCTATCTTTTTAGTTTAGAAAATAACATATACATAAGGTAAAAAAAATTTAGTTATCTTTTTAGTTTAAGAAATAACATATAGATAAGGTAAAAATATGTTAGTTTAGGAAATAATAAGCCGTAGTTATCTTTTACTCTAATGTGGAAGTTAGAAAGAAATAAAGTAGGAATGAGAAAAGTGAGAGAGAAAATAGGTGGGGAGGAAAAAACATGGAAGAGAGAGAGAGAGTTATTTTGGTGGGTTTTATTAATTGAGAGATTTTTTTAATTATGTGTTTTGAGGTATATTTAAATGAAGATGTCTTTCATTGTAAATAGATAGGAGAATGATTTCTAAACACATCAGAGATATCGTTTTGGGGTGTATTTCAGACTTGTTTTTTGGGTGGTTGAATAAGGTTGATATTGTGATAAGATCTTTTTGGGGTGGATTCCCAACTTGTTTTTGGGGTGAATTTCATAATATGAATCAACAGTGGCAGGGTGAATTTCGTGACATGAATCAACAGTGGCATCGATTGGATCAAATATTTTAGAGAATAAAAAAATACCTAGTAAAGAGTATTAGCATAGTAGAAGAAAGTCTACTAGATTTCTTTAATAGATTACAATCGAAACAAGAGGAAGAAAAATATGAAGAAGTAGGTCTTTTGCAAAAAAATTTGAATATCAATTACGAAGAAAAAGAAGAAATTTTGAAAATCAAATATGAAAAAGAAGATATGTGTGATGAAATATTCGAAATCCAACCAAGTAAATTTGAAGGAAAAATCAAGATTGAGCTCGAAAGCATTATGTTTTACTTCGAGATAAGCATGAAGCATTTGATGAATTGGCTTACTGAAGAAATTGAATGAAAAGTGCCGAGGCGCATAGTGGGACTACATCATCAATTAGTAGATGGTGATTTGCTTCAAGGTCGAGGTCGAGCTTCTCCCAACCCCAAGAGAATGATGCAAATAAAAATGGGAATTTATTTATTTATTTAGGGATAGGAAGAGATAAGTTAAGAGAGCCTAGTTTTGTTTTGAAAATGCCTTTTTTTAGTTTAGGAAATAACATATAGATAAGGTAAAGATCTTGGTTTAGGAAATAATAAGTGGTAGTTATCTTTTATTCTAATGTGGAAGTTAGAAAGAGATAAAATACGGATGGTAGGTGAGAGCCAAAATAGGGGGATGAAGAGAGAGAAATTAGGGAGGGAAGAAAAAACATGGAAGAGAGTTATTTTGGTGGGTTTGATTTATTGTGAGTTTTTTTACAAAGTTATTTGTTTTGAAGTCTATTTAAAGGGAATATGTCTCTCATTGTAAACAAATAAGAGAAAGCTTAGAGAGAGTTATAAACACATTAGAGAATGATTGGAGAGAGTTATAAACATATCAGATAATGATAATAAAATGAGAGTTGAATAAATTTGATCTTGTGATAAGATATCTTTAAGGTGAATTCCTTTATAAACTTTGTTTTTAGGTAGATTCCCTTGCATACTTTTTGGGATGGATTTTCTTGGAGACATTGAGAGGGTTTATTCTCTCAACGTTTTTTTTAATTTTTTTTTATTGTTCTAATTTTATTTTCTCTCTGCATCAATATGACACCAAAAAAAAAAAAAGTGACGTAAACCTGGATCAAATGGAGGTATTTTGGTGTAACTTAAACGCCTTTTTTAACTTCAGGGTAGTAGCAAAAATAAACAATGTTGAAGTTCATAAAGTGATATAAAAAAATGTTGAGGGGAAAAATGCCAAAAAGTTAGAAATTGTTTCCCCTAATGTTATAACTTATATGCTTTCCACTATCCCACCATCTAATCTGAAATGATGGTTGAGATGGTCTCAATCACAATGTCATCCCTCTACACTATTTTGTTTTTAAATTTTTTATACAAATCATTTTGACACCGAAGTTTGGGCATCCATTCATCTATTAAACTCGTACTATAAACAATGTAAAACAATTATTTTTAATAAAACACAGTGACCAAAATGCCTTTAAAGTTTTAAAGGTATTTTAGTTATTTTATTTAATAAAACTATTTTTTAGTATTTTATTTAGTTGTGCTCATTGAGATGATGACCCATATCAAATTTCATAATTATATTATTTAAAAAAAAACTTAAAAATAGTACTACGAAGTGTCATATCTAAATCAATGATCAATAGCTCATTTGTTCAAAATTGAACGGCTAGATGGGGAAATATATATCTTTCTATACAATAGAAACCAATGATCTAAAAAATGTTGGGGGCGGCACGAAATCGCTCAGTATAACTTGAGAATTGATCACCCTTGCCGATTTTATCAATATATATAAGAAATTGTCCGGGTCTATAAAAGAAGCCACAGTTTGCGACCGTGAAAAGGCATTTTGACAATAAAAATGTAGTTTTGCTGCAGTAAAATGACGATCCAAACCGCGAATTCACTGATGCACACCGATTTGTTATGCCCCATCCGTTTTTCAGATCATCGACAGAAAGTCAAACTAATTTTGAGCTCTACATTTCAGATCCGTAAATAACCTAGGAAGTCTCTCTTTGTAAACTTGAACACGTTTTACTTGCGTCCAAGACTCTCTCTCTAAACCTTGGACATGAGGTTCGTGTACCAAGCTTGCTGTCATAGTTCATACTTCGTACAATGATTACTCATTTTAGAGATGCAGATCACCTCTAAATTTCCACTCTGCTAGACCCCACATTGACTACCCACCTCATTGACGTCAATAGAGAGCTTCAAGGAAAAAGAGCTAAATTTGGATAAGGACATGGGGGAATGTTCCTCTTCTCTTTCTGTGGTTCTCTCACTAAAAAAATGGAGAATTTTTGTGTTGGGTATTGCTGAACAGTTTTTTTTTATGAGAGGGGAGAGTATTTTTAGGGAGAGATTTTTTTTTGTGTGTGTTTTCCAATATGGTTGTGGTGTTAATTGTTGAAAGAAGTTTTTGTAGTTTGAAACAGGGTGGGTTGGAGAAGAAGTTGTAGCAGGAAAATACAGGTAAAAAGGTGTTTCTTTGATTTAATTTTCATGGGTTGCTTCATTTTGTGTATTTGAATTGTGGGTTCTGTTCTTGCTTTGTTTGCCATTTCTGGTGATTTTTTTTTTTTTGGGTTTCAACTTTCATGGGAAAAGTCTGGTATGAGTGCTCTCTCTTTGTGTGTGTGTTAAGACCTGTTGAGAAAAAAATTCTACTCCCTCTTTTTCTACACGAGAAGTCTCTTTCTCTGTTAAGACCTGTTGAGAGGTGAATTCTCTCTCTCTCTCTCTCTCTCTCTCTCTCTCTGGTAAGACCTATTGGGAAGTGAATTCTCTCCTCCCCCTGGGGCTCTTCCTATCCAGAGCAATCTTCTCATGATTGACTTAAATGAAATTTCTTTTATTTACCTCTTTTATTTTTAACTCCAGACTTCAGTGTTTCATGCATTTTTCATGAGGTGCACCTCCAAAACCCATTGTTTTCCTTTGTATATATAAAAAATAACAATAGTAGCACCTGGGTTTGGCCTTAGTTTGTTGAGGCAAATTAAAGATGGTGCTTTTTCTCGAGAAACGGTGAAACTGAATGTTTAAGAGGCATAGCTGATTACAAGCCCAAACACACACTCTCTCTCTCTCATTCTTTTGTTCCTCTGGTTTAGGACATAAAAGCGTTGAGGCCTTGATTCTTTAACCCTTTCAAGGGGGAGCTATGGAGATTCAAGAAGAGGAGGAAACCCACATACCTCAGCCTCTTTCTCCATTGACTGTAGCAATTGTAGTTAATGGAAACAGAGACAGCAAATATGCAGTGAAGTGGGCTTTGGAGAAGTTCATTCCAGAGGGAAGGATTTCATTCAAATTGTTACATGTCAGGCCAAGAATCACAAGGATCCCCACACCAAGTATGCATATATTGTTTCTAGTTTTATGTTGTCTTATGGTTTATGTTCATAATCCATTCTAATCAGTGTTAAAACCCAAGGACTTGGCTCAGGACACACTAGGACTCAAGCCCCAGACAGGCCGACAGACTTGGCCAAGTCCCAAAAAATTTAAAAATAAATAAATAAAATATTGGAAACAATTCAGAGCCTGCCCAGCAGGAGTGGCCCAGTTTGATTCGGAATCACCGAGTTCTCCAATGCTGGTTCTAATTGTAACCTTCTTGTTTGTGGGATTGTTGAGGTTATAGAATCACTTAACTAACTTTGGATAAATGTTTTTATATTTGGGTTACATAAAATTTTAATACCTTTTTTTGCTTAGAGAACTTGGGCTTTTTGCATATGATCAGAAAGCACAAGTTTTCTATTTGTTTAACTCAGAAACCCTGTTGAACTGACTCAATTTGGGCTCTAAAAATTATGCGTTGGTCCACTGTGATTTCATTATTAAATGATTGGATACTCCATGAAAGAGAGTAGATATCCAATTGAAGTTTCCTAGTTCAAAGCCCAAATGTTATTTGTGAGTTGTAAGCGAGTATACCATTGTTTGATACGCAATTCACTAAGAAAGAGTGAATGTTTGACAGAAACAAGCAATGAAATAAATCATTGATCAATATAGCAGACTAAATTATGTACAGATCTATAATTTTCCGCTTCGATTAAGGGGCAACAGTTACATAATCTATCACCATAATCACCAAACCAAGGAAGTTGACATCAAAGCACCAAGAACATCAATTGTTTCCAATATTTCAAGTGCCAACTATGCTAATTATCATACACCATGCATTCTTATATTTTCCTGATGATACAAGTGAAGATCTCTAGATTGTTTGGTGAACAGGATGATCTAGAGAATGTAGAGTGTTTGAGTCCTACTCAAAATCATTTTCTTTAAAGAGATTATAATTGAGGGGGATTCAGGCTCTTGGATTAGGAAATGTATACAATGTGACCATTTACTTTTAATATAAGGAGGTCACAATCATCAATGACTATTAGATTTGAAATTGGGTGGTTGAATATGTGTCATTGTTGGGGCACGAAGTCCAAAATAAAATTTCTGGAATGTTGTGACAAACTTTCATCTATTGGATTTCACATCCAATGGATAAAAATGATTCTGACCTCCTTGTACGAAAAATAAATGGTCTCTTAGTATACAATTCCCTTGGATTAATGGTTTTCGAGTTGTAAAAATATATTATCATCCCATGGACTATGGTCAATGGAACACCATTTTCTGATTCAGTCATCACTGTTCAATGAAATGGTGGACATTGATGGGAGGGAGAGTGGGACCCACCAAAAAAAGGAACGTGTTTGTGTCTCACTCCATCTGTCACCATCTATCATAATGGACAGTGATGACCCCGATGGACTATGGTTCTCCAAAATGCATCCGGTTAGTATATTTCTATTTCCACATTGACTGATAGAACTCATGGTAACGCAAGTAACCTTAACAAATTGTAGTCATGTGATTATATTGAAGAAAGTGTTGTTTTTAATTGTTTGTAGTGGGGAATTTTATTCCTATATCAAAAGTTCGAGAGGATGTGGCAGATGCTTATAGAAAAGAAATAGAATGGCGAGTTAGCACAATGCTTCTCCCCTTCAGGCAAATGTGTGCTCAAAGACAGGTAAGCTTTCTCAAGTTTAGAAGCTCTATCAAAGTCAAAAGGCATGCAATAATAATTCTTGAATCCCTTTTTTCGATAGATTTGAAATGCGGAATTTTTTAATGCAGGTGGAAGTAGAGCCTTTGGTGATCGAGGGAGATGATGTGGCTGAAGCAATCTCAGAAGAAGCAAATAAGTCTTCATTTAGCAAGCTAGTCGTGGGAGCATCATCTCGTAATGCAATTACGAGGTTTTCTTTTCTTGCTTTTTTCTTATAAAAATCTAAAAAAATGCGTGAGGCATCAAGTAGTAGAACTAAAGAACTAATATGCTGATTTTTTTCATGTATTTTGGATTATGCGGAGATCACATCACTGAAATAAAAAATGCTTTATCCACTGTATAATATTGGGTTAGTGTACATGTTTGCATATATAAAAATTCCTAATTCTATGTATAATGAATTATTGTACATATCAAAACCATGCAACAATCAGAATGCAATTTGTAAACCAGTTTCTTTATTATAATTGAAGGAAGCAGTTTCTATTTTGGAAAGTATATTATGATCCAATTGACCATGGAAAATCGTGGTCCATTGGGGTCATCAATATCCAATGACTTTCTGTACATCAAGAGAGAGAGAATGGGACCATCATAGCAGGACATGACGTCGATCGTTGGTCACGCTATCACCGTCCATCAATTCCTTGGATGGTGATGATTCATAAGGGTTGTTTCCTGTTGTCAATTGGACTATAGTATGCTTTCTGTTTCTACTTAATGTCCATACTATGTGTCTATGAATGACAAATGGGTAATTTTTTATTTTAGGAAATTTAAAGGCCCAGATCTAGCCACAAGAATCTCAGAATGTGCTCCAAGCTTTTGCACCATTTATGTTGTGTCAAGAGGAAAGCTATCATCTGTGCGAGTTGCCACTTCATCTCCCGAAGAAAGCACCGAGTTAGCCAGTGATGAAGCAATTAGTTTCTCAGAGAGTAATTCTTCTAGCTATCCACTGAGAACAGTAACAGGTACAAGTGTTGTGTTCTTGATATTGGTTGCTCTCCCTCCATAAAAATTTACAAGATATTTTTGGTCGTGGTGGTCAGTGTTACACAGACACTCCTACTCTTCTCTGTGTCGCATGCTTACTCATGTGAACAATTCCCGTCACGGGGTCCTCACCCCACAACACATGTATGAGAGGGGGAGAATACATGTTGAACTCTTTAGGGATCTTGATACGGTCTCATCTTTCCTTCTATTGAAATAAAATGTCCCTCATGGGATTTGAACCCACTAACTTTCAAGGTTAAAGTAAGGTTTCTACCACCATTCCGTAACGTTACTTATTTGTGCAAAATTTGATATTAAAAGATCTCAAAATAAGAATTATTTGCAAACATAAAAAATAAAAGAACATGAATAATGGTACTATTAATTTCTCTTCCCAAAATTACTATAAAAGTATTGTATTGATGTGTCGAGCCATACTAATTTTTGGCCTTGATGCTAGACACCTAAGACCATACTAGACACTGCCACTTATATGTTGTGTCACACTGGTTTTTGGCCTTTAAGCTAGACACTTAAGACACATACTAGAGACAGCCACTTTTGTGTCTTTGAAACACTGGTGGTGGTAAATGATTATTTATTCAAAGTTTGAATGGTCACACCCGCTATACTCTCTCTCTCTCTCTCTCTACACACACACACATCATGGGCAGCAATCTTCGTATAGACTATAGATGGGTCTATTGATATATTTTGCGATACAGGAGGCAGTGATACCTACTTGTCAGAGCATCGACAATTTCGTTCTTCATCATTACCACTTCAGAGACATCGGGCTATTTCTACTGTGAACTATTCGAGTGGTAACAGTTTGTCAAGTTCAACAGAAATTGGCCCTCATAATAGTGTCTCTCTTGGCAGTGAGGTGGATACTTTATCTCACGGCTTTACTGATGATGCAAGTGAGACATCTAGCTATAGAACTTTTCAGGCTGAGAATGAGTCCTGGTTTTACAATAGGATGTCAGCAACAGATACTCAAACTGAGATCTCATTATCAGAATGCCCGGTATGAAGCTATGAACTCTTAAATATTGTAGTGATATAATAATTTTTGACTGGGAAAGTATTATATAAGTGCTGGGTCATCACCACCATCCATTGAAGTGATGCATAGCGAGGAAGAGAAATTGTGTCCATCACTGTCTTCAGCATTGTGTTCTATGGTGATGATCACAATTGAATATGGTTTATCAAGTTCCCACTAGGGACTGACAGACTTGGACCTGGCTTGGACGCAGGACCTAGCAAGTCCAAACCAAGTCCTTGTTTCCATACACTGGTTTTCCCCCATTAACTGGCTTTGAATTGAAACAAGTGCAAAAATATTTTTAACTTAGAACAACATTTGGATGGCAAGAAAGTTATACATATGTTAGTTTCTGCCTCAGCCTTCTACATTATTATCTTTCTTCTTTGATGTGATGGTTTTCTCTTACGATAGGAGGACCTAAGCTTTGAGGTAGAAAGGCTAAGAATTGAGCTTAGGCATGCTCAAGGGATGTATGCCATGGCCAGAGATGAGGCAGTCGATGCCTCCAGAAAGGTACTCTCTCTTTTTTCTCTAATAGTTTTAGATCCATTAGTACTTTCACAGGTTGATACAAGATAGAGAGAAATCACATGGAGTCCCTTTTTTTTTTGAGAAAAAATCACATGGTTTAGTAGAATTGTGAACTGGAAGAACCAACTACTAAATATCTTAAGATCCCATTACGCAGGGCAACCAACTTTGCTAAATGTTCTCAAATTCTTGCTATTTTATTAGGCAATCGAGCTAAGGAACCGACAAATGGAGGAGGTAAATAGACTTAAAGAGATAAGACTCAGAGAGGAGAAAGCACAGGAACTGGCAAAACTAGAGAAAGGTATGTGTGAAGCTGCTAATAGAGAAGCTGAATATGCAAGGGAATGTGTTGAGAGAGAAATTTCAGAGAGAAGAGATGCTGACAATAGAGCGTTACGAGAGGCTCAAGTGAAGCATAAGATTGAGAGCCTTATTGCATGCTTAGAGCATCAATACCAGAAGTTCTCATGGGAAGAGATAGTTTCGGCCACTTCTTCATTTTCTGATTCTCTGAAAATTGGTTCGGGAGCTTATGGAAGTGTTTATAAGTGCAGCTTGCGCCATACGATGGCAGCTGTAAAAGTGCTTCACTCAAATGAGGGTCACCAAGCCAAGCACTTTCAACAAGAGGTACGAAGAAATTTTAATTTGTTAGAAAAAATAAAAGAAAGAAAAATATGCTAAATATGATTTATTCAAACAAATTTTTTTTAAAAAAAACGTTTATTCAAGAAAACTGTATATTTCATGAACCCAGAAAAGGAAGCACTATTTACCTTCCAAAAAAAGCATTAACTTTTGAAACTTTTCTATTGTTTTGAGAGAATTGCAAGATTGGAGGTCCCACAACCCTGTTTTCAGATGCTGCTAATCCCTTAAAACATTAAAATATTTATTCAAGCAAACTGTATGTTTCATGAACCCAGAAAAGGAAGCACTATTTGCCTTCCAAAAAAAGCATTAACTTTTGAAACTTTTCTATTGTTTTGAGAATTCCAAGATTGGATGTCCCACAACCCGGTTTTCAGAAACTGCTAATCCCTTAAGACATTGCAAGTGTCTGAGTCTATAAGGTGGTGCTTGAACTGGTTCAGGTTGGAACCATTATGGGATTTGGGGAAGAATTCCATAGGTATCATACTCAGTTTCCACAGAGAGATTGTTTGGATTATGGTATAGTAAGATGGCTCAAAGCTCTCCTCTTAAAAGTTATGCTGATAGAAAGCAAAGCCCTGGTATGGTTGGTCCTATTGAGATCTGTAATGTAGTAAGGAGATCTGAATTCTTGGTTCTTTTAGGAATGATATGGAACTCACATGTTGAGCCTAAAATATGTGTGTCGAGAGGCTGCTGGCCCTTGTGAAAATCTGGTGTTCCCCTGGTTCTTTTCAGGAGAAAGAACAACTTATTGGTCTTGTTGAAAAACCCATTGTTGATTTTCCTCATTGCATTAAAAATCAATATCAATCATATATCAGTTATCTTGGTAGTATATTTTTTCTTCTTTTCCCCCTTACCAGTTCCAAATTTAGAGCATATAACTGAATGAGAGCATTAGAGCAAACTATGTTCTTGATCTCACATATTTTCTCATTATCTTGGCTTTACAGCTCGATATCCTAAACCGCATTCGCCACCCCCACTTGCTTCTTCTCCTTGGTGCTTGCCCAGACGAGGGTTGCTTGGTATACGAATACATGGAGAATGGGAGCCTTGAAGACCGACTACTTCAAAAGAACGGCACTCCACCTCTTCCTTGGTTTGATCGCTTTCGTATAGCTTGGGAAGTGGCCTCTGCCTTAGTTTTTCTCCACAATTCAAAACCAACACCCATTGTTCATCGTGACCTCAAACCTGCGAATATCTTGCTTGATCGTAACCTCACTAGCAAAATTGGCGATGTGGGTCTTTCTACTTTGCTTCCTTCTAATATCTCCACCATCTCTACTGCTTATAAGGAGACATCTCTCGTAGGTACATTTTGCTATGTCGATCCCGAATACGTAAGGACCGGGGTAGTGTCATCAAAGTCAGATTTGTATGCTTTTGGTATCATAATTTTGCAACTATTAACAGCAAAACCAGCAATGGCTCTTGCCAACTATGTTGAAACAGCATTGGAGGGTGGGAAGCTTGAAGAGATTTTGGACTTAACAGCTGGGAAATGGCCCTTAGAGGAAACACAAGAATTGGCTCTTTTGGCTTTGGGTTGTGCAGAATTGAGGCGTAGAGATAGGCCTGATTTGAAGACCAATGTTTTTCCTGTGCTAGAAAGACTCAAGGAAAAAGCTGATCTTTCTCGTGGATCAATACCCCAAGTCCATTGTGTGCCTCCAAGCCACTTCATCTGTCCCATATTTCAGGTTTGTTGTCTTTCTCATTTGTCAAATTTTGTCTTCTTTTATTCAACTTTTTAGTTTTTTCTAAAAGTTTGCTGGTGCTAATATTTCTTCCTTCTTAAGCCATCCGTTGTCATTCTCATCTGTCAAATTCTGTCTTCTTTTATTCAACTTTGAAGTTTTTTTGGAAGTTTGCTTGTGCTAATGTTTCTTTCTGCTTAAGCCTGCCGATTTTTCATTCATGTGCTTTGCTAAAATGGCACGCCCCTTCCAAGCAACAAAGATGCTACTTGCCTGATGAAATTTGCTTAATGGTTATATAGGATCTGACCTGATTCCACCACCTTTTTTCTTCCTTATTAGATTATCATTAAGCTCCACCACCTTTTTTCTTCATTGTTAGATTATCATTAAGCTCCACCACCTTTTTTCTTCATTGTTGGATTATCATTAAGCTCTCATCTATGAAGATTGTGAACCCCAAGAATTTTATTAATTAAGCTCATTGGAACAACTCCTATTGAACTTCAACACTAGCCTAAAACTCTGAAAGTTTCCCTTGAGAAAGCTTGCTTAAACAAGTAAACAAAACTATAGTTTAGTGGCACAGGTACCCCAATACTATTTGCACACTTTAACACTAAAATGAAATTGTATTCCACTCAAAGTTGGTATTGTTTCTCTACTCTTCAATTTTGTGAGCTGAAATTTTTCTTTAATTCGGTGTGTAGGATGTGATGGAGAATCCATGTGTGGCAGCCGATGGGTACACCTACGAGCATAGAGCAATCGACAAATGGCTAAGCATGAATGATAAATCACCAATGACTAATTTACCCATGCCTCACAAAAACCTTGTACCTAATTTCACTCTTCTCTCTGCCATTATGGAATGGAAGTCTGGAAACCAGTGATCATCACTGTTATTCAGGTAAGTTGGTTATCCAAAAACAAAACAAAAAAGACAGAGAGAGAGGAGAAGAAAAAGAAAAAGAGAGAGAGGAGAAGAAAAGAAACAAAATCTATTCCGACTCTGATGCTCATATTTTCCCCCATCCTTCTCTTTATATTGTGGCAGAGATGGGCATGACTCTACATTACTAGTCCTCATCAATTGCTACTCATGTACAAAATCGAAGCACTTTTGTGCCCAAAAGATGTAAGCACACATAAGGCCTTATATCCATTTGTAATAGTCATGCATGCTTGAGCATGGAAGCGTTACTGCATTTTGGACCCTTACTAGTTACTATGTTAAGTAACAAATAAGACCATTTTCTTTTGATACAAAAAGGAGACAATCATCCCTAGTCATCCGAGTAAAATTGGGTAGTTGGGGTTGTACCATTGATTGAACTTTAAGACCAGAGAATTTTCCTCGAATTTTGTGCAAAAAAAATGACATTTTGCAACCATTTCGATTTCACATCGGACAGCTTGGGACATCTATGACCTTTGTTGTACAAAAGTTGACAATCTCACTGTTATACAAACCCATAATATTCTGCTTGTCTTGTATAAAAGATTATTAATTGTGTAACCAAAATATACAAGCACCTATTGGGCCCTGTAACCTTTTTGTAACAGTTATTTGAGAATGGCCATGGAAGTGTTGCTTGTCTTGGAACCTAGGCATATAAGAACTTTAGTGTATATTATGCTCCCACAAGAGCAAAGTATTCATTTGGTCCCTTAGGTAAAACATGTACTTGAAAAGATCTTCTAGATCTGAAAATTTGGTATCCATTTCAAGATCATCGTATGATTATTTTCAATGAAAAGAAATTGGATTTTGAGCTCTTTTAACACTTTGATCTTACTGCGATGTTTGTTCAATTTAGGACTAATTTTTCAGGCTCATAGAGTGTGTACTTGAGTTGTTCTTTTTGTTTTGTTTTTGTGGAGTCAGTCTTTAGGTAATAGATGATACATCCCCAAAATTTGGTGTCCTAGAATGTTTTTGCCTGAGGGAGTAAATGGATAGTTTACTCCCGGAGGAGCATAAAATCATTTGGCTAAGTACATTAACCACCCCACAAAACTAATTACAATTTCAGTTGATAGTTTCGCTATACCATCTTGAAAGAAATCATTCCTTAGAAAAGTAAAATGTTTTATGGTTAATGTTTATTAGAAAAGCAGGCCTTCTTTTTTTTTTAGTTTGTTAATCATTTGATTAAAACTCATTTTCTTGGCAATTGATTTGATTTGGCTGCATCCAACATTGTTTTCCAACTGTCTTTAATCTACTATTAATTTAGTATGAAGTATTTCGGAAAGTTGTGGCTTTAACCAGTTGCACCTTAAATGTCACGGTATGCATGAAGTATTTCGGAAAGTTGTGGCAGTTGCACTTTAAATGTCACGGTATGCAAAAAAACTGTATACTTTGGTTATTTCAATTTTGTTATTTATAGCCGTTAAAAAGTGGATTTCAAGTTTTAAAAATGGTTTACGACATTTGCTTTTGGACCATCTTTTTGAAGCATTAATAGATATGCTAGATTTGAAGCATTTTTTGAACATTGAATTCTGCGATTATGGTGGAAGTGGATTTGCAAGTCATGACAAACTTTTCCGGCCTCGTATCCATTTATTTTTTCCAGTGGGGTATTGAGGTTTATATCTACCAAAATTAGTAAAGCAACAGCCTTACCAAAACCTCATCCATTTCATACTACTTGTATTATTGTTAATTGGATTTCAGAAATTTTTTATTTGTTCTAGAGTTATCATTTACTTGCATTATTGTTAATTGGATTTCACAAATTTTTTATTTGTTTTGGAGTTATCATTAGATTTGTCTTGAGGATATATGTTGTGTTGATGATTCTGACTAGTGTTCTAAAAACCGGAATTGGGCAATTCCGAAGTCAGACCGGGCCATATTTTACAAGATAAAATTTCTAAAGATACTAGAAAACCAAGAGACTTGAGTGAATTTCGATTTCTTAGGCCCAGAATTGCTAGATTCTCACTCAATCCAATTCAACTCGGGTGATTACCAAGTAAAGCAATTTTTAAAAAGTGATATCCGAATAAGTTAGCTACTTCTTGCTAGTTTTTTTTTTTTTTTGACAATGTTTCATAATTTCATTGATAAAAAAGTGTTACAATGCATTCAACCAAGAACATCTGAAATAAGCAAAGCCTACAAAGAAACTCCTCTTAGCTAAAGAATTTGTCAAGTCGTTGCCCCCTCTCTTTGAAAATATTTGAAAGTGACACTCATATTCCGAATCATATCCATGATCTCCATTCACTCAGATCTCAACTTCCCACCAGTTCTTCATCTATGTTGATTTAAGTTTACACTGAGGCTTTGTTTCAAAGTTCCCATAGCACACTTTTGAACAACTAATGTATTGTATTGGTTCACATTATCTTTTCTCTTACCTCTAATATCCAAGGTTTATTCATACTTTTAAGTTACATACCTTGACAGTCTTATTTTTACCATATCTAAGGTAAACAATTATATATTTTTTGATACTATTTTTTTATTTTGTCTACGATTGGTTAGATTAATTTTGACTAGACCAAATCTTTATTGATTTGATGGTAATACTGAATAATCCTTATTGATTTGATAGTAATACTGAAGAGAAGGACCGATTGTAAATAGATTTTTGTGGATTCACAACAGGAGATGGGCACCACTATTCTTTATTTTTTATTTTATTTAATATATGGTGATAGTCAAGAGAACAAAACCAGCCTTACTCATGCCCATATTTAGGATAACAAAATCCAGTAGCCAACCTTTTTATGGAAAAACAAAATAAAAGATTTCACACACCTCATCACATGCGCACCACTTCATACAGTGATATAGATTCTCCCGCACGTGCGCTGAATCCCCAAACTCCAAAGATTCAATAAGGTGAATCAGAACTTAGCTTCAATGATCCAACGGTCAGAAATTCTCCTCTGCGTCTTCCACGTAGCAGTTTCACGTGTAGAAGAAACGACGGAAAGGGCAGGGAATCAGGGATATCAGGACGGAGAAAGTCAAATTTGCCCTTGTCTTTCATTGGCAGCTTTTGGGAAAAGACGAAAGTGTCCGGGCCATTGCAATTTATTTTGCTAATGATGGCTTCAGTCTAGGGGTCGCAATGGACTGGAACCGGCTTGGGACTTGACCCGATTCAGATCCAGGTATGGGTCCAAAATTGGACCCGACCGGTCTGGTCTATATCCGATTGGGTTTGGTAATGTTTTTCGGGCCCTAAATCTCAATATATTTAAAATATAGTTAAATATATAAATATTTTAATTTTTGGATCGAGTCTTATTCTGGATCCCACACTATATTTTCTAGTCCGGATATAGGTTTGGTGAATTCAGGTTCGAGTCCAAATCTGGACCCGACCCAACCTGTTGCCACCCTAGGCTTTCACCGGTACATGGGCAAAGTTGGTTGTTTAGAGATGTAGTTTATATTTCTGAAATTTTATAATTACTCCAAAATCTAATTTTATCTTTGGTTAAAACTAGTATTTGACTAGTTCCACTAGTTGGTTTTGACACGTACAGATTTTTTTTAGCCATTTTTTAGTGTGAGAATCGGTCTATAAAAATAAATAAATTTATATATATATATATATATATATTGTGGAAAACAGGTGATCCACCCTATCTAGAATCTAGAGTCCAGACACCCAATTCCCTAATAGACTCTTGTTGCTTGATGGAACCAAATGAGTGCATAGGAACCAAACTGATTTTAAGTTCTAACTTGAGGTCTGGACCGATTTTTTATTCGATTTCGTGATTTCCAATCCAGACCATTAGATTTTAAAATACTGGACTATACATCAAATATTTGTCTTCGGATTGGTTGCTAGGTTGGAGAGTATTTTTGGATATAGAGGTTTGGATTCTAACTTAGTAAGCACTTCTAGCTATGGTTTTAGCTGAGTGGGAAAATTTACATTATGCTTTTGCTAGAGCATTGCAAAGACCGGATGGGTCGGGTCTGGGTTTGGATCCATTTGGCCTTGACTGGACTTGGTCTAGGTTTGGGCCCAGTTTGGATCTTATCGGGTTGGATCAGGTCGTGTTTGGGTTGAGGCCAACCCGACCCAAATATATTAGCATATATTACATACAAATAATATTAATTATATTGTATAAAATATATAAGGTTGCAACCTTAACAAATCAAAGTAAGGCATACCTCCAACCTTTGTTATGACATATACTTTTGGTGTAAAAAATTCATCTAATGACATGGGAATCCATTTTCATCTCTAATAATAAAGTTTTAAAAGTTCAAATCAAGCCGATCCATAAACGAAAGAGAATCTTGAAAATAGGCGGTTCAAATAATTTGTTGCAAGATGTACTATTTTGAAACTTAAAATCTTTCTTTTCTCCATATCCATATGTCAAGAGATAACCAATTAGATGCATTTCAACATCAAAACAGTCTATTTCAATGATTTTTGAGAAGCACATTAATTCTACATTCTAAAGTGTCAATCTTATTCAAAGTTTTAATGTATTCTTTATTTATAGACAGGGGCCGACCTGACCAAGTGTGTTGGGTACGAGTCCATTTGACTTGAGCCCATCAGGTCAGCGTCAAGTCTTAGGTCCACGTCCCACTTAGACCAAGTCGGTCCGGGTCGAGGGCTGCAACTCATTATCGCACTCTCACGTGATATCAAAACGGAACACGTGCGAAGCACGTGCGAGGCTCTTTGATGGGCTTATCGGTTTTAATTATTTTTTAATGACTTTGTCGGGGTTAATTATGGACGGTATGATTAGTGTTTACGTGGAGAGCTATCAAGCGTTGGTGGAGACACCAATCACTACCTGGCATAATTAGGGACCCACCCACATTCCCAAAATTACCTCAAACCCTATAAAATAAAAAATAGAATTAAGGGTGGATTTTAACCCTCCTTAAAGATAATAATTGCCTGTATACCCTTCCACCTGGTAGTTAACGACCATCTTAATGTTCTTTTGTCATAAAAAGGAAGCAATTATTCATGGAACAATTGCAAAGAGTGATTGTCAAAATTTGATTGGACCGGCCAATTCCATTGGTCATTATCATCATAAGAGCTGTTTTTTCAACCATTTGAGATTTGCAAGTGGGTCTGATTAATGTGATTACAAATTGGTACCTTGATTTGTTTGGTTCAAAATAAAATTATGATCGGATAAAAATTGATGTTCGGTGTCTATTTGATTGATTTTGGTTA